TTATTATATTATTTTTTTGGGACCAATTTCGGTCCGCTTATTTCAATTTCTCAATAATTATTTATATTTCTTACTGAAATATCCGGACCGATTTCGGTCCGGATAGTATATATACGAACCGATTATACATCGGTCTGTATATTAGACTTATTCGTACCAGGTTTTTTCAGATCAACTATAAGGACCAATATCGATCCGGATATATATATTCAGACCGATTTCCTATATATCCGGACCGATATTTCGGTTCGGAAATCCCATTCCTGCAGTAGTGAATGTGAGATTGAGTCTAATATTTAACTCAATAAAAGCTTGTAAGTAGTTTGATAATTTTTTTTTTTTTATGATTAGGGCAAGTGGTTCGGGGGAGGGGGGTAGGGAAGGGGATCGAACTCTTGCCGTGATGAAGAAGGTTTACATTAAGTTGCTGGGTCACTAAGCGGACAGGCCTTCTTCAATAATTTGATAATTTTAATAAACTAATTATACAAATGTTTTATGAGTACATATGTTACTCATCTCAATTTGTAAATCAACCTAGATCAGCTTTTTCGGCCTATAAAATGAAGCCACGCTCAATTCTTCTAAATTTAATATTTAACAAAGTACAAGTTCAACTCTAACTAGATCAATATGTGACACAAACTCGAGTTTAAAATTTGACTTGTTTATAATTAGGCGCAAATCAACTACGTTAGTCCATTGTACGAAGAGTCCGGTATGTTGAATTTTTTTTTTCCTAAACAAATAATTTTTTTTAATTTAAACTACATAAAATTATATTTTGTAAACATGAAATGAAGGGTCTATGTAAGTTCAAAGGAGTCTAAATTTTACTATATTCTTAACGATAGGTATATTTTAATTTAATAATTAGTGTTTGGTACTTCCAACTCTAAATCACTTTTAACTGTACGAACGTGAATGGTATACATTATATTTCGTAAAAAAATAATTTTTGGTAATAAATTTCACCAAATTGACTGCCAAATATAGAAAAACAAAAAACTGCACCAACACCATTATCATTGAACACCGAAACAACGTTGTTCAGGGTACCTACAAAGATTATTCTCATGGGTTAGATTTCCTTCCATTCAAAATATTTTACCTCTTAGGGAGTAACATGATTGATTAATTGTCATTGAAGTTAAATATGGAGAGGAAGATGTAAGTCTCAATATTAATTATATTTATTTTATAAATTTTTGTCATTGCGTTCTAAACTATGATGATTTTTAAATATTTTTGAGTAATATATTAATTATAAAAATTAAAATATATAATTTATTTATTTTATTATATCTTAATATCTTAAATTCTACTATATCAATCTTTAAAATTTTAACACTATATGTATATAGCAAGCTGGCTCAGGACCCGTCTGATATAGCGATTTTGAGACAGTGATTAACGGTTTTATCTAAGCTATCAAGTATAGGTGTTTAGTAAATTTATATATTTTAAACCCATTATAAATAAGTTGTTTAGTAAAATTTTTATTTAACGGTTTGAGATTAGTGAATAGCGATTAGGATCCAAATTGCTAGCAGATTAAAAAACTTAGTTTATGTAGTTTTTTATAACGGATTAGAATTTTTTAATTTTATTGATAAATTTATTTATATTAATTTTTTAATTTTTGGTCACTTTTTTAATTAACATTTATCTAATAAGTTTCAATTTTGCTTTTTGACCTTTAATAACATTAAGTGAATATAATATTTTTATTTTGTATATTAATTTATCATTAAAAATATATAATATTAAAAAACAAA